GAATGCATCACCTACTGGTTGCATCATCTACTAGTTGTACCAATCTTTTCTGCAAACATAATATCCTCCACCTCTGCACCTCAAAGCCCCTGTCTTCATGTCAGAAGACTGTCTTCATGTCAGAAGACTCAGAAGACTAGCTAAAGTTGAGCACAACTTCAGCTTCTCACGAGTAACACCCTCAGTTGACATGTCACCGCCAACGTAATCAGTTGACATATCATCGTCTCTTTCCTGGGTTGCTCCTGTATCTGCTTACAACTCCCACTGCATGAGAAATATCCTGTCTCTGTTGAAAGACCTTTTCAATAAGTTCAGCATTGTACCTCTTACTACCACCAAGTGCAGTCTTCACTCGGACACCCACTTGTTGTGCAATGCCTTCTTTCTTGGTAGAAGTTTCGTCAGCTCCCAAGTCTGATTCCCTGGTAGGGTATCCGTCTCTTCTTTCTTGGTCAGCTCCCACTTGCTCGAATTCTCATATTGCAAGATTTCTTCATAACTCTGTGGTTCTCCACAATTTGTCTGTACAAGGTCCGATTTTCCTGCATTTGGCGCTCTACCACTTTCAGGAAATTTACCTTCTTCTGCTTTCCCATAATGCACCTCTGACTCGCGTGTCATCGCCTGAGTAAACCTGTAGTCATATTTAGTGTGTCAGTTTTCTTACCCCGAGCCAGTACTAATGCTCCTTTGATAACTTTCTAGGTGCTATCTGAGAACACTACCGAATGACTACCCTCATTGAGCTGCCTAATAGAGATGAGGTTTTTCTTCAACTCAGGAACGTTTTTGACCTTTTGCAATGTCCATTTGCTCTTGTTAGGGAGTACAATATCAACGTCTCTCATCCCCATCACGTCCAGAAATAGTGCACAATGTATTTCTTTAGTTACAACATTAGTGTCATCATTCTCCTTCTTCTTAGGATTCCTGCAGTTCATTTTTATGTGGTCTGCCTTACCACAATTCCAGCAGGTTGCCTGCTGGCCTGACTTTGATTTTGATCTTCTATGGTTTGAGTTTTTGTCTTGTGATCTCCCTCTGTAATCAACAATCAATGCTGAAATCAAACCCGAGGTCTCGCCAGAACCTTTCTTGCGCATCTCCTCAGCCAAAATCGAATCACGAATGTCATCATATTTCAGCTTGAATTTACCTGCAAAACTGCTAATTGCCATCCTCATAGCTATGACTGTAAAAGAGCCGAGCTTGAGCGAGCTCAGGCATGGCTCGTGTTCGGCTCGTTCGAAATAGCTCGTGTTTAAAATCGTCTCGTGTTCGAAATTGGCTCGTGACTCGATTTAAATGTTCATGTTCGTTTTCGGCTCGTGTTCGGCTCGAAATTCGCTCGTTAAAATTAAATTAAGAAAATAAATGTAAAGTGTGAGATTCGAACCTAGACCAAATATATACAAAATAAGGGATTAACCACATTACCAAATGAGATGTTATGATTTAAATTTAGATATAAATATATATAATATATTATTATATAAATAATATATGTAATATATTATTATATAAATAATTATATAATTTTTTTATTTCGAGCTAAAACGAGCCGAACACGAGCGAACAAAGAGCAGTTTGTGTTCGGCTCATTTATAATTCGAGCTTTAAAAACTTGTTCGTGTTCGACTCGTTTACTTAACGAACGAGCCGAACACGGGCTACTTAACGAGCCGAACATGAGCTGTTGGCGAACAACTAGCTTTTTTGACAACCCTATTCATAGCTTCCCAACTCTTTGACAATGAAGCCAACAATATCAGCGCATGTATCTCATCATCAAAATAAATTTCAACAGACGAAGACTGATTTGTGATAATGTTGAAATCATTCAGGTGTTGAACAACATACACACCTTCCACCATCTTCATGTTGAATAACTTTTTCATCAGATGCACCTTATTTTTTGCCGATGGCTTTTCATACATATCCAATAAAGCCGCCATGAGATCTGCAGTAGTCCTCTCCTTGATGACGTTGTGGGCAACCGATCTCGACGGGGTTAATCGTATAAACCTCAGAACCTGTCAATCCAACAGATTCCATTCCGTCTCGTCCATCTTTTCTCTCGTCCATCTTTTCTGTTTTCTGGTCGCTTTCCCAGTAAAGGAAGATGAAGTTTCTTCCCATAGAGGTAGTCCTCTATATGCATTCTCCTGTAAGCAAAATTTGTGCATTGAACTTCTCGATCCTTGATGTCATCACTTCGTCTCCGCCCATCACTTCTCTGATACCAGTTGTTGTGAAAAAAGACTGCAATAAAGTAAAAAATGGAACGAGTAAAATTGCACACAGAGAAAAACACCGAAACGAGACACGAATTTACGTGGTTCGACAAGTTTGCCTACGTCTACGAAGCTGCAGAGGATTTTTTTTCTTCGAGGAATTATACCGTCGAGCGCTTCGACGTTTACAAGAAAATCTCTATTTTCTTCTCTCCCTTCCTCTCTCTCTCTCTTCCTCTCTTTCTCTTAGCTCTCAAGAGGACTTGACTTTGTCTTGTGATCTCTTCCCTTGCTCTCCTAAGTCTCACACTCTCTCTATTTATAGAAGCAAGAGAGCGGTAGGTGGGCGGTAGGTGGGATGTGGTAGATGAGCGGTAGGTGAGATATTTAATTAGGAAGCTAATTAAATTTGGTAGACTGGGTTCACATTACCCAACACACCCTATATGTGTGACATCAAAAATTGATGCCAACAATTCCAAATTTCAGTTTCTATCTCCATTCTTTACAATTTTCAGTTAAGTTGAGATGGTTGATGATATTATTGCTTCTCTTAATTTTAAAGATTTTCTTGGAATGTTGTGTTCCATGTTATTTGATGCTCTCCTTGCCTAGTATTTGGGAGGCTGATACCTGATGCTTTCGATTCATTGCTATTTAGGTGTATTCAGTTTTGCTATCAACGAGATTGTGGCTGGTGTTTCTTGTTGTGCAAAATTTGATTATTTCCTATGCAAAATGAGATTGTTTTCTATTGTGTCCTATGAATAAAATAATTATACACCACCAAAAATTTACTTCAAATATTTCTATTATAAATTATATTTGTGTTCCATGTTTCCTCATCTTAGGATTGTGGTTGAGGTATCCTTTAATTAAGTTCAATGGTAGCAATACAACACATGCAATACATGTCATTTGCCTAATTGAGTTTCACTGTCAGCATTTTATGTCTTTTTGGTTGATGCATTCAGTTCGTTGCCGTACAGTTTTGGGTTGCATTGGTTGTCTATGAATATAATTAATCGAGTATCACTTTAGCATTGGAAATGCTTAAGATATATGATGAATCAAATTCATTATATGGCAGATTTTCATGTGGCAATTTTTTTCTAGTAGGGTTTTTTGAAAGCCAAGATGATGTCCATCATCCTATGAAGCTCAACCATTCATATAGTTTCTTATTTCTTCCCAACCTTGTTTGCTTCATCTTGTTTCCTTGATATGTTCTCTGATTTCTACAACTCTTATCTCATTATGTTATCTGTTATGAATAAATACTTGAATAGCTGAGTTTTGAGAAGAAGAGATTTACAATTGTCTGTTAAGAACAAATACTTGAATACGTGGCAAGTTTTTAAGAGAATATATTTTGGAAAGCCATGATGAATCAGTTCTTATCTCATTGCTTAATTTTTTGTCGGATACATTTACACACTCACACTATGATAATTAAGATTTAAGAAGAAAAAACTTACTCTTGATGTTTTGTTCTTAGAATTTGGTTGGCCATGCATATTTCTTAGAAACCAGGTTGTTGCAGCTTGATTTAGGGAAGTTTTTCTGATGCTTTGATGTTTTTGGATGGAATTTCAGTTTATGCTTTGACGAGCACTGAGCTTTCACCATCTTTTCTTTGACTCATGTGAATGAACATCATTTCATATTGCACTGGTAAAAATTGATCTCGCAGTTTTCTTTTGGAGTTTATCAAAGCTTATTTGTCGTCTCACATCTCATTATGAGATTTTGGTTTAATGTTAATATCTTGAATTTCAGTGCTTTGAATGGATTTGCTGGAGCCGATTCAAGGAGGAGATGTCTTTTTCTGTATCATGGGAACTGTCTTTTTTGTATCATGGGCGGATGTATGTCTCTTCATGGCATGTAATTTGTTCCATTCAAATGTATTTTCTAAGCAAAGAATGGCAAGCACTCTGTCAGCTGTTTCTCTTGTTCAATGCCCTAAATGTCTTAGATTTCTTGAAGAATTTGCAAATATTTCTCTTTCCAAGTGTCATGGTTGTTAATTGTTATGTCATTCTTAATGACAAGCACTCGAGAACTTAGATTGTATTTTATAATTTATTTTTATCAATTGAATATTATTTTAGGAATATTATATCATTAGTTTTGTTTTTGCAACTTGGCTTTTTTTGTAATCATATTAATTTAATTAATGGAATATGTTTATCATAATTATATCATTGCATTTGTATGTATATATATATATCAAAGAATGCCCGAAAGCTATTATACGAGCTCCCATCTACCCTCATACGCCTAACTATTTGAGGAGCACTCTCACTACCGACAAACTTGCCAGAAGGAGGATTTGAATCTGTAACTTGAGGGGACTTACGACCTTCAAAGATGTTGCTCTACCAACAGGTCACGACCGGTATACACACACACATATCAAATATATTAATTTTAGTTTATGTAAAACCAAACTGATCAAACCAAATTTTAGTTTAATTTGATTGGTTTGATTCTCTTGAAATTTACATTGGATTAGTTGATCGGTTTTTGGATTTCAGTTACTCTCGATTTAAAAATTTTACAAACCGATCCATCTGATTAGACCGAATGCACATTCCTACCTAGATGATTAGTTAGTAAATATCAATATTTTAGATGATCTCTATGGAGTTATTCCTTTTTTCTAACATGAGACATATAAAGTTATTTTTTTTTCTAAGAATTATATAGTATTTTTGTAAATCCCTAATTAAAATATTTATGAATGGATTTCTCAAAGAAAGCAATTATTCTTTCCTTTGTCACAGGCATGGTGTATGAAGGGAGCTCAGGCAAGTCGAACCATCGCAGCCACCGCAGCCACCAAATCCATTGCTAAATCTCTACTCCGTGATCCTTCCCCCATCCATTCCCGATGCCAAGCTCAACAACTCCACGCCCAACTCCTCAAATGCTACTCCTTTCCCTCCTCTTCTTCCTCCATCCTCACCATCTACTCTCGCCTCGCTCTCCCCGACGACTCTTTTCGTGCCTTCTTCTCTATTCCCTCCCCTTCCTCCTCTTCCTGGACCACCCTCATCAGCTGCTCTGCCGCCGCTGGTCTATTCCCTCTCGTACTCTCCCTCTTCCATCGCATGCGCGCCACCGGTGCTCCCCCGAATCGCAAACTTCTCCCCAACGTACTCAAATCCTGCGCGGCTCTTAGAAGCTCCAAGCTCGGCGAATCTCTGCACGCCTGCGCAATCTCTTTTGGGCTTGATTCCGATCTCTTCAACGGCAATGCCCTGATGAACTTGTATTGTAAAGTGGGCCATCGCCATAACGAGCGCAGCCAGTCAGAGGGAATGGAAAGCAACGATTTTGGCGGTGGGAGTGTTAGCAAGCTGGGCATTTTGGAACGAAATACGGCAGGGAGTTGTGCTAGAGCTTCTCCCATGGAGAACGTAAGGAAGCTGTTCGATGAAATGCCTGAACGAGATGTAGTGTCTTGGAACACAGTGATAAGCGGGAATGTGGAGAATGGGCTCTATGAAGAGGCTTTGGGAATGGTTATGGAGATGATTAGTCTCGGATTAAAGCCCGATTCATTTACTTTATCTACCATTCTGCCAATATTTGCAGAGCTTGGAAATATTTCGAAGGGGAAGGAGATACATGGACATGCTGTTAGAAATGGCTTGAGTAGAGATCTGTTTATTGGAAGTAGCTTGATTGATATGTATGCAAAATGTACGCTTTTGGAGTACTCATACCGCGTCATGAGCTTCCTACCGAACCCAGACGCCATTGCTTGGAATTCTATAATTGCAGCTTCTGTTCAAAACGGTCAATTTGATGAAGCTCTCACATTGTTCCGTGAAATGTTGGCGGCGAAACTAAAGCCTATGGCCGTGACCTTCTCCTCCCTCATGCCTGCATGTGCGCATCTTACAACTCTGCATCTTGGCAAGCAACTTCACAGTTATGTTATCAGAGATGGATTCGATGGCAACGTGTTCGTTCAAAGCGCGCTTGTTGATATGTATGCTAAATGTGGAAATATTCGTGTTGCTCGAAAGATATTCGATGCAATGCCATCACTCGATATGGTTGCTTGGACTGCCATGATAATGGGTTATGCCTTACATGGATCTGCTCATGAAGCACTCTATCTATTTCAAAAGATGGAGATGGAGAAGCAAAAGCCAAATTATGTGGCTTTTGTGGCGGTTCTAACGGCATGTAGCCATGCCGGATTGGTGGATGAGGCTCAGAAGTTTTTTGATAGGATGACGAAGGATTACAGCATTACCCCTTGTTTAGAGCATTATGCGGCAGTAGCTGATGTTCTTAGTCGCGCGGGTAAACTAGAGGAGGCCTACAACTTCATCTCCAGTATGCACATAAAGCCTACTGCGAGTGTTTGGTCCATACTGCTTGGAGCTTGCAGGGTCCACAAGAATGCGGAGTTAGCAGAGAAGGCGGCTAAGAAGATTTTTGAACTTGATCCCTCGGAGACCGGACCTCATCTTATCATGTCAAATCTCTATTCAGCTGCAGGAAAATGGAAGGAAGCTGCAGAAATCAGGATGGTGATGAGGAAGAAAGGTTTAAAAAAGCAACCAGCTTGTAGCTGGATTGAAATAAAGAACAAGGTTCATGGATTTGTAGCTCATGATACATCTCATCCTTGTTTTAGGAAGATAACCGAGGCTTGGGAAGCGTTGAAGGATCAGATGATGAGAGCGGGATATGTCCCGAACACGGATGATGTGCTTCATGATGTAGAAGAAGAGCAGAAGATTGCGAATTTGTGTGGTCATAGTGAGAGACTTGCGATAGTGTTTGGGATTATAAGTACCCCTCCTGGTACTACAATCCGAGTGACGAAGAATATTCGAGTTTGCGTTGATTGCCACACCGCCATTAAGTTTATTTCGAAGATTGTTGGAAGGGAGATCATCGTTAGGGATTTTAGCCGTTTTCATCATTTCGAAGAGAACAATTGTTCATGTGGTGATTTTTGGTAGAATTTTGGAATGAAAATGTGGACCTTGAATTTCTTAGTGCATTTTGGTGCAAAATTATGCTACTAGAGAAGCATTACTTTCTTCAGGTCTGAAATTTATGTTCATTTTTTGGGATTTTTATATAACAACCACCCAAAATATTGATTATAACATTTTAATCACCCAAATTTTAAATACCCAAAATTTTAAATATAACTTTTTAACCAGCCAAAACTTTTGCTCAAAGCCTTTACTAATGAGTACAGGAGGGTGGTTGTAATGAAAAAAGTGATTAAAATGTTATATATAAAGTTTGGATGATTAAAATGTTATATTCAATGTTTTGGATGGTTGGTTTGTAAATGCTCCAATTCTTTATTTCTTTTTTAACATTCACTCTTCCTGCAATATAATTAGATAATGAGAAATTTTTGTATCTTAGATTCATAAGACGTGAAAGAGCATTGCTCAATAAGAATTGTTCACTCGGACAGATCACAAATTCAAGGTGCATGTGTTACTCGTATTTTTCTTAGTCCAGTGAAATTTATGATAAGTTAACAATATTCCTTTTTTAATTTCAGGTTTTAAATGTGTTTTGATAAATGTGAAAGCTTACATCATTCTTTTCTATTATAAGGAAGGTATGTAGCATGCAACCTTTTTTTTTTTTTTTTGGTTTGAGATTTTTTTGTAATTTTTGTATTATCATTTGCCGTTTTTGATTTAGTGGATATGTGGCTGATTAAAGGGTAGATTACATTAAGTTTAATGAGTTCATGCTGGTCAACATTTTAAGAGACCCCTTATTTTGGTCCCTAAAGTTGATTATGTGCTTCCTTTTGGTTCTTCGTGATTGATCCGTTGAAGAAACTAATTCCTAGAATGTCCTTTAATTCTAAGAAGCAATTTGAGACCACTTTTGCTTTCTATTTTGATTTTGATTTTTATCTTTTTTATGTTTTCATTTGAAACAAAATATGGTAAGCTATTTGATTAAAATATGATTATTTAAAAATATATTCAAAATACTTCAAAATTATTTTGAGGGTTTTTAAAACTTGTTAATTTATTTTTAAAAACAAAAAAATAGAGGATAAAAGAGACACTAAACAAATATGTTTTTAAAAACAAGAGAAAAACAAAAATAAATAGCAAGAGACAAAATTAATCTCAAACAAGTCCTTAGATTTTCTCGAGGCATTATCTTCTTCTCTTATAATGATTTCTTTGGGTTTAGGGCCTTATTCCTTATTGGAGAAAATTCTATTCATCTTTGTAGTGAGTGTAAGGAAACTATTTGATTAAGTAGAGATTTAGGTGCCAATGCTGACGAACAAAAGCTATTTGAGTTTGGCTAGGCTGCTATTGCAAGTTGCAACAATGGAAGGGATATTTGTTGCGTATCAATGGTATTCTTTAATGGTGCATTTTTCATTTAACAAAACTAAAAATTACAAAAAATGCATCTAAGCTTTAACATTGTAGTCCGTCTTTTCTAAGTAAAGTAAAAAAAAGCAGGATCACAACTAATAGAGTTCCAAACAAAAGTTTTAGTAAAGGCACACTGAACACAAAAATGGGTTACTGTGCTATGATCCGTGAAACAAAGCAAAAAAGCACCTGTGTAGAGGACAAGAGGAAAGCAAGGTTGGTGCCGAGAATGGGTTGGTTGACCCAAGTACCGACCCCATGCTTTGGCGAAGGAAGTTGATGATGTTCATGTTGTTACCCTCTATGATATGACCTGTAAGTTTGAACTTCTGTGATTTCATAATTCTTTTAATAGAGAGGATGGCTTCTAATTCCACCTGAGCACTGCCCCAATGTTGTAAATGATGACCAGAGGCTACAATAAGATCACCATTTTCATCCCGTATAACAACACCCATACGCGCAAACCCAGGGGCGCAAAGAGAAGGATTGGACAGCCATTAGGGCTGGTTTTCCAGTGCTTCAGAATGGGATAAGCTTGCATATGGGTAATGGCATCAAGAATCGTGGTGGCAATGATGTTAGGAGTGCCAAACGAGCTGTCATGCTTCTTTGCATCTAGCCCTCCACCCTTGGTAGACAGCACAACAATAAATTCTTCCCAAAGCCACCTGTGCTTTGGGCATAACGGAAAGCCCAGTAATAGTTAACTCAAAACTGGAAAATTTGGGGAGATGCATGCCCCATTAGTGAGAACATTGGCAATTTCAATCAGCACTCTATATTTGGCCACAACATGAATTTGGTTCTCTTCTTCATCACATCCTCATGAACATTGTAAGTCATCCCCCAAACCTCATTGGGGCAGCCACACATTGATCGGGACAGTGTTATGCAGAATCCTCCACCAGAACATCCTCTCCCTAGGGAGGAGATGTACCTTGTGCAGCCACAAAAAATTGTTGGTTGCAAGTTAAAACTGTTTTTCATAAGCGACCGAAGATATTGGCTGCCCAGAATGAGTAGAATTCAGAACAACCTGATCCATTTGGAGGTTATCTGAGCGTTGGACCTGCAATATAAAGTGAGGAGTGAGATGCCTATTTTATGTCTCCAGAGCTAAGTAGCCATTGTTATAGTCTAGAAAGAGAGTCGTCTAAGATGATTTGGTCACATTAAATGTTGAACATCTAATGATCCAGTTAGAAGAGTAGGTGTTTTAGATTCGACTTTTGTTAAGAAAGACAGAGATATACCTAAAAAAGCTTGGACATATTGTATAAAAAATGATCTTACTATTATAATTAAATGAAAATATTATACTCACTAGGACACAATAGAGAAAAAATATTCATGTAGCCAACCCCACTTAGTGGGATAAAGGCTTGTTGTTGTTGTTACAGTCTAGAAAGAGAACTTTTATGGCATGTTTTGCATCTAAAAGTAAGGATGTAGCCTTGAATATTATTACAAATTCTGAAGGGGATGACTATTAGGGGGTGTTTGATAGCGCCTATTAGTAGGATTTATGAAATCTAGCTAAACAAAAAAAAACTACAAGTTCTATGGATTTATGAAATTTTGGATTTAAGATCCGAATTTTGCATTCAATTCATTTTAAATCTGGATTTAATAAATCCAACAAGGAATTGGATTCAATAAATCCGAATTTACTAAATCTTATTAACACTAAATCCTGCCTGTAGTCAAACACCCCCTCTTATAATGATCTCGAATCAATCACTAATGGCTTTGGTTGTGGCGATTTTGATGATGAATGAAGACACCACTTTCAAATAATGGAAATTTCTCAACTGCTAGGAGTAGTGTTGAGGAGGGATTTCACTATTTGGAGATAGGAATATGAAGACAAAAGTAAACTATGATATGAGATGCTTGTTAGAGTTTCTGGCTTGTATTCTATTGGGCTTTGATCGAATAGTCTACGATGCAAGTTGGGATCAGTCGGGCTTCAGGATTGGTTTAATGGGCCCTTATTATTTTTCTTCTGCGTGCACTCACACATATATGTTTATAATATTGAAAATAAAAGGAGTTACAAAAGAGTAACGGCTCGTGTAATAAGACCAAAAAGATATATATATATATATTATAAATTAGTCTCATTACATATACACTCAATATAGAAGACACCACTTTTTGGTCTTATTACACGAGCCGTTACTCTTTTGTAACTCCTTTTATTTTCAATATTATAAATTAGTCTCATATACTAGAAATTTTTTCTATTTTGAGTTTTCCACGTATATCTGGATGTCTCTTGATTTGTGTTTATGGTTTGTCTCTTCATTATTATTCTTCCAATTCTCTAAAAATATCCTTGCACAAAAAAAAAATGAAAGAAAGTTGAGGATGAGAGGCAAGACATAGTTTGAGCTGTTTAGTTTTCTTGGACTATGCCCTCTGTGCAAATGTTGAGAGGTTTCTTCCCTGCTCAATCTTTCAGATTATATAATTAGATGTATCTCTCTCTCTCTCTCTCTCATAGCAATAATAAGCAATCTGAATACTTTGGTGATGGAATCAAGTATCTCCCCAAATTTGGAAGTTCATAAATAGGATAGAATTCTAAAAGATAACCCCCCTGACTCCTTGAATTCTTTTGCGACCTACAAGTCCAATACTTATGAAAGATGTTTCCCTGTTCCTATCCTCCTTGGAGGACAAGAAAGAGGCATATTTAATACATTATGCTGTTGAGATAAATAGAAGATTGAACTTTCTGGACCAGCAACAATCTGTTCAGTTGAAGTAATTTGAAGATTCTGCATCAGAGTTATCTAATTTCTAATCAAAGCTGTTGATTTAGTGAGTGCAACTAATAATTTTCATTGAAATAGGCTGGATTAGGTTGAAATTCTCTGTACCAAGAATCCTAAGCACTATGGCTTTTGGAGCAAGATGAAAAAAGAGTATCAGAAATGGTATCTTTGGAATCTTGGATACCTTTCAGCCAATTCTCTTCAAGATATTAACTTTATGGAAGATTTACATACATAACACTCAATTCCTATATATTTACTTATCTAATATCTAAACTTTAATCTTTACATACGTAACCGCCCTAGCCATGCATGAGAAGGTGTATTTCACTTTTTTAGATGTTAAAAGTGTGGTATTTTTGATGTGATATTTAATATTTAGGTAGTGTAAATGTAAAAAGAAATATTAATGTGTTGGATATTTAAATTCATAGCAATTGAGTGGTATGTATGCTAATGCTCTAACTTTATTGCAATGTTTTTGAATGGAGTTGAAGATTTGAGATTGATGGCCACAACACAATATGCAAGTCCAAAAGCCATACATCATAGTGAACTTTCAATAAAAATTTATGAACCAAATGTGAAGGTTCTACGAAGTGGTCTACATCTTAGATGGAGTCCCAAGCAACATTTTTTCGAGGGATTATGAATATTACTCAAAAGATTTACTTTGTAGCCATTGGATCTTGCTTATGCTGTATTTTGTAAGTTTTTTTCATTCATCTTTTCTGATTTACTTTGCCTGTTATATGAATGGAAAGTATGTATATTTTTGCCAACTTCGTCTTCATATTCAATACTATTGTTATTCTGATGGAATGAGATGACTAATTACTTTATTATAACTACACCAATGAATGCTGTAATATCCTTCTTATGAACAGTTTTGCAATGCTGTGAAAATTTACAAATTTACCCTAGAGGAAAAAAAGGAAGAAAACTATTTCCATTTCATGCTTCATCACACATTAACAACTCATATGACTTTGGAATTTTCTTGTCTTGAGTCTCATACTTATGTTATTTTTTGAACTCTAACCTTTCTTAATAGGTATATATGAGGATCAACAGAAACCATATCTAAAAAGATTATAAGATATATTAAGTGCACTGAAGATGAACATTCTGCATCAATCACTTCTCTGAATGATGACAGCTTGGTGTTCATGTTGATCAATTGACTCGCTCTTGGTCTAGTTTCACAATTTTATTTTTTTTCTAGGTTTGACAATCACAAACATCATGAAAATTAATTGGGGCATTTACATACCTACCACCCAGTTCCCTATGTATTTACCTGTTTAAAACTTACATTTATAGCACACAAAATCTTTCATCACATAAGAATGCCACCATTTTAACTTAAAGTGAAATACACCTTTTTATGTATAGGTAAGGTGGTGTATGTGAAAATTTTAAGTTTAGGTGTTAGACTTGTAAATACATAGTAATTGAGTGGTAAGTATGCAAATCTTCCAAATTAATTTTCAGGAGCATTGTGGAATTCCTGCTTTGATTTAAATGGATGTCTTGAAGTAGCGAATCACAACTACAAAGCAATGAAATGCTTTCAAGTTTTTTCAGAAGTGCAGATCTTCAGAATGACACGTCCAATTTTTTTCAAAACTGAAAACTTGGAAGAAAGAATTACAGAAAAGACCATAATTTGTCCACTGAGAGAATTTATGAGTATAGAGATTCAATTGAATTTGATGAAATTTCTGTTGGGTATGCTGAAGAATATCATGCATTAAAAAATACTTTAGTTAAGGATCATATATTGGATTTTTTTAAATTTTTTATGTAGGAAAGTGTCGGCACTAAAAAGTTGAGTTTTTAAGTTGTCGGCTCCTAGGATGGATATCCTAACACATGTTTTAATTTAATTTATATATATATAATTTAGAAAAATGATATTTTAAATTTTTTAAAATACAAGACCAAATCGATCCCATATTCCCAGTAGTTTAAATAAACGAGCATGATATCGTAAGCAATGTATTTACCCCGAAGGATAAACACACTACTCACTGGTAAAACTCGATTAAATAAACTAAAGATTGTATGCCATCCGTTTAAGTCTGAAACCATTTTATTTATAAGTCGACAATTCCCCTATTTAATACGAAGAATTAAATAGGGTTTATATTAAGCTGAGTTTGGAAATGTTTTCTATAAAGGGCAAACCCCTATAGTTAATTATATTATAGATAACTGAAGTCACCTAAAAAAACTCCCGATAAAAATCATGGGATATTATCTTTAAAGAGGTCAAAGGATTAAGACTTTTCAACTAAATTGGACAAAGACGTATGAAAGATGAATGATTCAAATTTGGAATATTTATTGTAGAATCTAAAAAAGAAAGAATTAGGGGGTGTCATAGATCTGGAGGAGAACCTCAGTGACTTCCCAAACTATCCTACTGTTTGACTTCAGTTTTGGGAATTAAAATTTATTGAATGTTTCATCCTGCCAATTTTATTAATTAGAGATTATATTCGTGTGAAACGATTACACAAATAGCCTGAAAGATATGAGGATTTAGATCGTGACAGACGACAACCTCAGAATCCTAAAACAGGTTAGGACTTAAATTGTATAGCAGAGCTATTCAAAGGCCTAAAGAAAAATTAAGGATTTATGTTGCATAAGCAAATAACCTCGAATTCCTATGGGTTTGTTATTTAATTCTAAGGAAAGATGTGCTGTTGTAGATCCTCTTACTGTTGAAGATGGTCGTGCTGACCGTAATGCTAGCTCCAAGCTTCTCGCCGTAGCAAATTTAAGTTTTCTAATGTGTCATGTTATTATGTCAAATCAGATATCCCTATGATTATGGTCATTTAAATATTATGAAACATATTAAAGTTGATTAGAGCGACACCGGTTAGGATCCTACAGTTCCCTCGTTACGGTACCACTATTTTCTATCGAATTCACTTAGTTCAAATGAATTTACTTAACTCAACTCAATGAGTTTCATACATTCATTTAGACTGTGGGAAATCTCGTTAGCAACCGTAGATTACCTCCTCCGAGGGATTCCTGATCATCCGATAGAGACGTCTATAATTTAGTTGCAATTATTGTTTTGTAATGTTTGTGATTAAATTTTATGTTATCTTATATTTTGAATGTTATGGAGGTGAATTTTATCTTGGTTGATTTTAGTTTTGGTTTTATTTTCAGTTTTGTGGCTATTCTAAAAGTTTTAGTTTTCATGCAGGGTGACATCGTTGTTTAACATGCAAGTTTGTAAACATAAAAGTACAATGTGGGAAAGTACGAGAAAGGAAAGCGCTGTAAACTATAAAAGCGTATCTGACGAGTCTTTTCTTTCCTCCACCTGAAAGTTTAGTACTTGCGAAACATATATATGTATAATTTTGCAGGAATTAAAGCATGCTTGTAGAAAAAGTAGGAAGTACAAACTTAAAGTGTGCCTACCAAGGTGTATTTAAATTTTAAGTGTATTTAAATTTTAAAGATGATTCCATTAAGCAAATTATAATAAGCTCACATGTCCTTCAAAATTTTCAAAGGATCGTTATAAAGTTTTGAGTAATACCTTAGACATTTCATGGTCATTTGAATTATCTTGAGTTCATTTTGGTTTTATCATATTTGCTATATAGTTCATCGAATTAATACACTTATGTTTAATGAATTCAATGTTTTAATTATCTCTTAGGTGGAGTAATTATTACTTGATATCTTATTTATGAATTATAGGGGTAAAGACCCTTGGGGGCAACCCAATTCAATTAAGAAATTTAATTAATTTGATTTTTTAAAGAATGAGCTTGTAGTGTTTTGAAAGGTTTTAAATTAATTATAGGTTACTTTCTAAACCTAATTAGACAACATTTTGATTAAGCCTAGCTCACTACTAGCTCACTACTAAGCCCTTAAAATTTAATGGGTGGATTTATAATTTGAATAAAAATGATTTTTCTTAATGTTTATATTTATATCCTTAATCCTTATCATAAATTATAGATCATCTCAACATCATTAGTTGGGGCTTAAAATTAATGAGTTATAATATTCTAAAATCAATCCCCTCACCTTAATATCTCCCAATTTAAATATTCTTCTAAATTTCATTAATTTTGAAAAATTATAAATTTATCCTTTATAAGACCAAAATAAAATTGGTTTCCACCACTTACCCCTTATATATTTCAATCATCAAAACATATCAATTAAGATCATTTGTTGCTCATTTAGTACTTTGGTTAAGTTTAAACATTAATTAAGTCTTAAATTCCAAAATTATCCTTTTGCCTCTAAAGCCTTAATACTCTATAATTCATTAAATTAGACCCAAATGACTTGAAAATTTTATGTTACCTCACTCGTGGGTTAATTAAAGCATTAGAGGAAAAAATGTAATTTTTCTGAATTTATTTAATTTTATAATTATTTTTAATGCAAAAATAAGGATTTTCAAGAAAAAATTAATAACTCAATCAAAATAAAACCACTGTCCTTAAGAAAATTATTAGAGGTTCACCTAGTTCAGAGGACCACTTTGACCAATTTTCATGTTTTTTAGATGTTTAATTTAATTATTAGAATTATTTGTTGGTTTTGAGTATTAATTAAATATAAAATAATATTTAAATGGAAAATTAAGTTTTATATTTTTATTAAATCTCTCTTGAGCCCAGAGAACTCAAGAAAACAAACTTCATATTTTTGTGATTTATATTTTTAATTATTGGAATTGTTTCAGTGAAAAATTAGAGAAAAATTCATTTTAAGCCTTTTAAAATTAAATCTTGACTTACAAAATTAGGAAAATTATTTTAGTTGGGTCTAGGTGATCAGGAAACCAAATGTGATATTTTAGTGTGTTTTTACAATTTTAGAATTTTTATGATTTTTTAATTAATTTTAATCATTTAAACATTTAAAAGTAGCTTAAAAATGAAGTCTTCATTTTAATTTCAATTTTATTTTTCTTAAATTTCTCTGGTCATAAAGAACTCCCAAAATCAATTTGGTGATTTTTTGAATTTATTTTAATTGTTATGATTATTTTAATATCAAAAATGTCATTTTATCTTAAAAATTCATTTTAGTTACTTCAATTGACTTGAAATTTTTATGGGGAGCACCTCTAACATTAAATTACAGTGTGGAATAGTTTTTATATCATTTACATTTATAATTACTTTAAATTAATTTTCTCATCTTTTTTAGGGTTTGTGACAATTAGGATTATTTTAAATGAGTTAAACCAAGTTTATATTTTTCCTAGGATCCTTTGACTACAATGAACCTACCGAAACAAGTTTTGTATTTTTCTGATGAGTATTTTAATTATTATAATTTTTATACCAAAACAAGAACCATTAACTTGAAAATTGGATATGTCTAGCTAGAGATGCCCCCTGACCTTGAAAAAATCTGGGGAGATGTCTAACAATAGAGACCTTAAAAGCCCCATGGTCCCATGCCATGGTGAAATGTCTATGCTAATGGAAAATCAAAATAAGGAAAACATCATTTAATTAATTAAAAAAATAAAATATGCATCAAATAGACATGAAAATATTTCCACATTGTCCTCCTCTCTTCACCGAGCAACAAATTATTTTTATTTTTTTTTTATGATTTTTTTACACTAACTTATGAATTTTTGAAGTTGTAGGGGTTTAAATAAATAGAAAAATGTTTTATTTTTCTACTTATCCACGCGACGCCATGCAATCCTACGACGGTTCCGAAGCTCCACACGGCGCGCTCCCATTTGACGCCGCCGTCCACGCGTCTACCCCATCAGCCCGCTGTTCCGCTCCATCCGCTCATCCGACTCCATCACAGTCGTCTTTCCGATACACGCTTGATCCAACGACGCTCCGTCATCGTCCCAAAAGCCCTAGACCGAGAACCGTCCAACTTATGCTTAATATCTCTCTCGATACTTAACCAAGTGTGGTTTGTTCCGATAGACTCGTCTTGACTAGGAGAACATATCCATACAGTTAATCAACCCTTAAATCAACTCTATACAGATGGAGAATCAAATGAAGCTCGGTTTAGGGTTAACTTTCAATACCTTGGTCTAAGAGGGGAAACCTTGATTGGATGCTTGTGGAAGCTTCATGAGGGTCCCAAGGGCCTAGGGATGGAGTCTCAAGCCGTGGTGAATCGCCTAGATATGATTTTGACCAAAGTCGATTTGGGGGTCTGATTAAAGTCCACCTTAGGGTGCTCTGGTGATGGGACTTTTGTGAGGAATCTTCTTCTCTCACTGTGGGGATGGTGTGAGTGCAATTATTTGAATTTGGTGGAGGTTTGAGGGGTGTCCTGTTTCGGCCTAGAGATTGGGCTAAAAAATTGAGCTCGAGCAGTGACTTTGAGTGGCTAAGGGTGGTTGAGTTGAACTCAAGTGGTCTTTAGGAAGCTCTGGAAGCAATTTGACAGAGTCTCCTCAAGGAATTTCAAGCTCTCTTACTTTGGCCATGGAGGGTGGGTTTAAATAGAGGGGGAAGGAGAGGCCACCGGGGGCAATTGGTGGGTACTTTAGGATGCTTATGTGAATTGTGATGAGCCAGCTTGGATGGGTTTAATTTTGAGTTTTGGCCATGGTGGAGCTTTTGATTTTGGGTTTTCCGGCCACCAAGATGGCTGGCCGGCCAGGGAGGGATCACCATCTAACTCAGGGAGGTCAAGATTTGGTCTTGGTGAAGTCAATTGGTGTTGGTCAAGTGTAAATGTATGAGATTGAAATAGTTGAAATAGTATGGGAAAATTGTATGAGATTGAAATAGTATGGGAAAATGGTCATTTTGGGTCAATTTGGGTCAAATCATGATTTGGGTTGGGTTTTGGTCTTGGGCCTGGTCTTGGGCTGAAGAGGAGATCATTTGGTTCAACTTAATCATTGGGATAAGTCAGCATCCAAAGAGATTTGGCTAAACATGGGTTAGAGTGATTCATGGGAGGGGTTAAAACTCTTTTAAAAAGGCTTGAAAGTGGCTTGGCCTCTTACCATTAATAGTTTGATAATGTGACAAGGCTCTCATGGCTTTTCTATGGCTTGAGAGTGGCTTCATGGCTTGCATGTGGCTTGACTAATTTTTATGATGAGGGATTTTGAATTTATTTAGTATTTTTGGTGAAGTTTGGCTTGATGCTTGATTTAGAATGATTCGATTTTGAATTTAGGACTTTAGGAATGATTTTAATCAAATGGATGATGAAAGAAAGAATTGTAATGTAGCTTTAGATTTGGGCTTTTGAAATTATATGTTGTGGGCGTGGGCCTTTGAATTTAAAATTGATTTTGGGCTAAAATTTGGGCTAATTGAATGTTGAATTTGGTGTATAGAGATGTCATGAAGGATTTGGAAAATTTCAAATGATTTTGAGTTGAATTGATGGGCTAATTTGATGGATTTAGACATATGGTCAAAATTAGATTTTTTTGATTTGAGATGCTGAATTTTGATTTGGAATTGAAATTGGGCAAGATTGGGGTCAATTGGGCCAAAATTGGGGTTAATTTGGGGACATTTGGGCCTTTAAGGCAAATTGAGGCTTTTGGTCAAATTGGACTAATTTTGTCAAAGTGATGATAAAAAATTGAAATTGGGAGTATTTGGGATGATTTTTAAATTTCTGGAATTTTTTTTTGGAATTTTTTGGTCATGAAGGGCATTTTGTTAATTTTGGCAAATTTTTGGGGTATTTTGAAAATATGGTAATTTCTATGAATTTTGGTCAATTTAGGTAGTGGTGGGGGGTTTGAGATGATTTTTGGGCAAATATGTGTATTTTGGGTAATTTTGGGATTTTTTGACAAAGATTGGGGTTGTAGGGGTATTTTGGTAATTTGGTGATTTTGGGCCAAAATGGGCCAACAAGCCTTGAAGTCATACAAGCCATGAAGTCATACTAAACCAATAGGAGCCATATGAGGACTCATTTTGGATGCTCAATGTGCTTGTTCTAACATTCTTAGCCAAAGACTAGGGGTATAGGGTCATCCACATGAGCTTTCTAAAAAGAGTTAAGAGACCAACCTAAGAGGTCATAGGGTTTAGAGTATGCGAGAGAGTGTGGTGTGTGTAAGTTAGCCCCACCAAAACCAGATCACCACCCATGATTAGTCCTAAAGTTTGACCATCCTATGGGGGACTCCACTTGCGCTCCTTCATATTGACCCTACCTACTAAGTGCTAGAGGTCAGGACCAATATGTAGAATTTCAGGTTGAGCAAAGAAGGATTTATAATTTATAATGGTGAAGGTTCCTTTTCTAGTCCTCTAGGAAATAGTCAATAGGAAAGTCCTATGACTAGACCCTAGGCTACTAAAGAGGAAAAACTAGACCTCAACCAAAAATGAGGTCAACAGAAAGAAGAAAACATGAAACTGATTGATGTACTTTCTTTGGCATTTAATGAAATATTTTTTACTAGGGAAATTACATACACAACACCGAATTCTATGGATTTACGTATCTCACACCTAAACTTTTATTTTTACACGCACAACACTCTACTTATGGATGAAAAGATGGATTTGACTATTAAAAGGTAATAATGAGTGTTACTTTTTATATGATATTTGTAATTATGAAAGGGGTGAGATAGGTAAATATGAAAGTTTTGGGTGCTATGTATGTAAAAGCCCCTTTTTACTATTTTATGTCTTGTCTGGTATTCTTTTCCTTTTTAATATGTGAATACTTATGTTAGAGGCTTAGAACTCGTATATGTTGGCAATGAGCTATAGCTCTTATCAATAGCTTTTGAGTTCTCAAATTTTCCTTAGTTGCCAGTAGAAGTAGATGTTGCAGCCATACCTTGTTCTCAGGAGTGACTTATTTTGTCTTGGTCTTGATTGTTGAGAGTAGTTAGAATTATGATTGCCTTGAAATTGACTGAAAAGGACTGCTTTGCTTTGGCAGAGCCTAAGGATTTCACATCATTTATATGATGCTTAGAGTAAAATACTTCAAAGCATTCATGGGTCACATCATATTTTAAATGGGAAGATGATAAATTTCATTTTTAAAATAAAAACTTGTTGATAACAAAACACTATTGCTTCAGAAAAAAAAACAATAAGAAAATAGTAAAGTTTTGATAACAAAATAACAATAATCTTAAGAAGTTAGCTTCATCCGAAAGTGTAGACTTCAAATATTTCAGCTTTGCATGAGAATCTATAAAGTGTTGATTTTTTCCTTTTTCTTTTTTTGGATAGTTTTTCACAATTTGATACCACTTCAAAAAGTAATTTCTTCCATTCAATTGTTTTTTAAATATTTAAAGTAGAACTCTTTCTTATTTTGATTTTTATCATTCATGATGGTTCTCTGTTGTGGGGAATTAATGAAATAAAGGAACAAATGTTGGCAAATAGGATTGTAGTCTCACTTTGATATCATATAAAAAAATAGGATGTGGCTAAAAAATCTTGATTTTTTATTTTTTTCAAGGGGTGTTTATGCACAAAATTACACAAAAAGGAAAAAAAAATCATAAAAAATAGCCTCTAATTATCTCGTTATTTGATTCATTTAAGGATTGCCAATTAATGACGAAAAATCAATCAGTATTGATTGTGGAAACAAAAAACTAGTAGTGTCTATTAGAATGAAAAAAATTTCTCGATGATTTCTCTAGTACGAGACAATTAAGAGCGTCTTCATCTTAATTAGAACCAATAGGAAGCAGTGTTTTAAAAATTGGGCTAGACTGAGCTATTTAATCGTGAACCGATCATTCAACCAGTTTGGTCCAAGTTCAGAACCATTTTTACATGAAATCAAGAATAAACCGGTCAAAATATGGTTGAACCAATGAACTGGTCTAGTTTCTAAAGAACCAATCTATTTAAATATTGTCTAATTATAACATTTTTATTTTGATGTGATGAGCATAAATAAGATATTTAAATTAAAAATAAAGAAAATATTTTGTATTAATTTTTTTTTTTAAATATTGCTTAAAATATTCAAAAGTATTCTCTTAAATTAAAAGATTATTTATTGAATCTCGTTATTCTAATATCATAGTTGTTATCAATAGCTAACCCTCGTGGCGGCACCGTGAGTTGATCTTCGAGTGTTGCACGAAGAGTGTCCTCGAAGCGAAGATGGAGGGTTCACATTTGATGACTACCAGTGAAAGCACGACGCTTCTCTTGTGGGAAGGGATAACCAAGCCGAGCCGACATTAAAAGTAAGTGTTTTTTTTTATTTATATAAGTTTTTTTTATTTAATTAAATGTTATTAAGTTAATATTAAATTTTATAAATTAATATCAGTAATTAAATCGGACAAACAATCGAATTAAAAAACAAGGAAGATGGAGATCGAAGATTGTACAAAAGAAGGAAGAGATATTGAGATAAATAACAATGTTTATCTATTTATTTGAAAATTTTTGTGTTAATCTTAATATTAAATCAAAATTAGCGATTGAAAAGCATTTAATTCAACAGGTTTGGATTGTGGAATTTGCAAAGAGGAGAAAGAGATGGATTGAGTTGAGATTTGAATTTTATCATTTATTATAAGTAATTAATTTAATTGAAATGTATTAAATAATGAGTATTACAAATTAATTCCAGAAAATCAAGGATTGAAAAATATTTGTATTGAAAAAAATTAAGAGAATAAGACCTCTAGATTGACTATAAGAGGACTGAGGTAAGTTCTACTAATAATTTTTATTTTCTTAGAGACTAATTAAATGCTTAAATTAATGTGCATTTAAAAAATATTTTAGGTTTTTAATTGATTTGCAATAATAGATTGATAGAGGATTAGTAAAGTTATCAAGTTGAGAAATAAACACGTAAAGAGGTTTCCAAAAGATTAAAGTGAGTAATATTATTTTGTATGCATTAAATTTATTTGCTTTTATTTAAAGTTCTTTGCACTTTCAAATAATAAAATTTATAACGAGACAAATAAATTGAAATTGACATGTATTAATTAAACGAAATATTTTATTTATTTTATAAATGCTTAATATTATTTCTATTATTGAAAGAAAATAATTAAAAAATGAAATGACTATTTAATTATTTAAATTATTTTACTTTTTTGCACTAAATAAAAAGTTTAATAAATAGATGCAATGATTGAAAGGACTTAGATGCTATTTTAATTAAAGAGTAAATGATTAAGTCAATCAATAGTCACCTCGTATGTTACTAGTTGGTGATGTTATTGTATCCGTGCACAAAAAAAACAAATGAAAATGGTTCAACCATAATTCATATGAATCTTTAATGATGTTCCTGGGATGACTTTTTAAAATAAAAAAATGAAAAATATAAATGTTTAAAAATAATTTAATAAATATTTTTATTAAAATTAAAATACTAAATTAAAATCTTATTATGTAAGTTAATCATCATATTTTTTTTAAATTTATGCGTAAACATTTGCATAATAATTTAGCACACAACAAAATTATAATTATTTATTAAGTTGTAAACTTAATGTGTTATTTTAATATTTCATCCAGAAGAACATTGTTAAATTAATTTACCTAAGAGGTGGGATTTTATTTACAAAAGGGCAGGAGTTGTTCGAATTAAGTAGCAGGTCTTTTGGTTTCTAGATTTGTTTTCTTTTATTTTTATAACTACTTTAATCTGGATGATCTTTTGTATCTTATTAGATGATGTTTATTATGCATTGTGGATAGTGACTGTTTTCTATTTGAATATTTTAGTGAAATGTTATTTATTTGTTAGTATTGTTTTCTTCTATTGTACGACCTCCCTTTCATGTCTTTGTTTTTAAAATTTTTGGGCCAGGTTGTGATAAAGTGGTATCAGAAAAAAAATTAATTTTTAATTTTGATAAAAAGTCATTAGGTTGATTAAAGAAATTTATAAATAGTAGAATTGAAAGTTTAATTGATTCTAATTAGATGGATTCATTCTTATTTCCAAAGTATAGATGATAAAAAAAAAATTCAGTCATAATAATATAAGAATAGATATGCCAAAATATATTATAATCAATATTGATGTATTTTTTTTGAAATGATGACTGTTGTGATCCAATTGATAAAAAATTATGAGTCTCATGCTCGTAGTAGTGAGGGAGCATATATGGATAAATGGTTAAAATTATTTCAGAATATGAGACCACTTTTATTTTTTTTGATTATGAGGGTTAGTAAAAATTAAAAATTGGTTGAGCGTAGAGAAGATTATTGTATGACATATCCGCTAGAGAGAAAAGTTACACTTGCTACATTTGTCTTTAAGTGGAAAGTAGAGAGATGGTGACAAGGTAATTATTTGAGAAGTTTGATGGCCGATTTAGCCATTTAGTGCAGTGCGTTGAGTTTGTAAGAAGATTTAGATATTGGTTTGTATAATTTTAGCCAGGAGGCAAATACAAGATAATTTTATTAGACTGATTTAGAGCTATTGTTGCTATATCTCCAAGGATCCATAATAGATTATTCAAAATGCATATGAGAAATATCACATGTTCTTGTTTGGATTGAAAGATATAATTAGACAGTTATTGATTCCTCTTAGGATAGATGATTATTCTACACTAATGGAGTGAGCTAAAAGGATTAAGCTGGAATTTAGATCATTGAAAAGAGAAAAGTTTTTTAGAAGAGAATTAGTTCAGAGGGATTTTGGAGTTTCACAGATTTCTCAGAGGAAGCTATTATTTCAATCAGGGAATCTAATTACCATGAAATTTCTCATAAGGGTAGAATAATGCTAAGTAGTGTGGAAAGTGTGAGAAATTTCTTAAGGATGAATGTTTATTTGGATCAAATACTTATTTCTGGTATCATCAACCATGACACAATGAGTAATTGCCTTATATTTGGATAGAGAGTTGCAATAGAGACCATGGTTGGTGATGCACCATATCAAAGGAATTTTGGCAGGTAGAAGATAGTTGAGCCCACAAGATCTATGTCAAAGTAAGGTCAAGCTCAACAAAATGTTCAACCTAGAGTTTGTGCTCTTGCGGCAAGAAGCTAAGGACGCACATGAAGTTATCATAAGTATGTTTAAAATTTTAATTTTTAATTGAATGAAATTTGATATGTGCCATAAACTGCATTTCATTAATATGAATATAAAATTAAATTTTATTTAAATAAATCAATTTTAAATATTCAGTACAATCTTCTTCTATTATAGGTATCATATCCCTCCATAATATATCAATATAATCTCATTCATTTATTGCAAAAGATTTAGTTAGACTGATAAATTTGAATATCATATTAATGTTAATAATTTTCTGTTAACATGTCAAATGTAAATCATATTGAGCTTAATGACTTGTGTAGTTGTGTGTGGTAGATTTGAATATTGGTGCAAGGGATTTTGAGGCGTAGTAAATTGTATTGCCTTTAAGTGACTTTGATGCAATTTTAAGAATGGATTACTTATCTAACTATTTAGTAACTATAAATTGTAACAAGAAGACAGTCAAAATTAATGTACCACAGAGATAGAAATAAAATTTTGTGGAGGCAGAAACTTGATATATCTGAAAATCATATAATTTAGGGCTTTCAAATTATTAAACTATAGAAATGAAGATTTTTTTGTTCAAGTGAAAGATACTACTAAAGAAATGTAATCAATAATTGGCATTTCAATGGTGAAGAAATATCTAGAATTTAATATGGATGATTTATCTAGGCTACTACTAGTGAGAGAGATTGATAATAATATTAACTTTTTATAGGTTTTAAGCTAGTTTCTAAACATCATATTGAATGACAATTAAAAAAATACAAGAATTGAAGTGTGTTGCAAAAAAACATTAGATAAAGGGATCATACGGTCTACCTCCTTGTGGAGCTCTAGTATTATTTATAAAGAAGAAGTATAGCGCATTAAGTTGTGTATCGATTATAAAAAAATTAAATGATCTCATTGTTAAGAATAAATATTTACTGTTGATGATTGATGATTTATTTGATTATTTAAAAGTAACTTTTATATTCCAAAAATTAATTGGAGAGCATGTTATCGTCAGCCGACGATTAAAAAATATGATATGTCGAAGACAGTATTTAGGATTAAATATAGGCACTATAAATTTGTGGTAATATCATTCGGATTGATTAATGCTCCAACAATTTTTATGAATCTAAGGAATATAAATTTCAACAACTGTTGGATATATTTGTGAGTTTTTATATTTGATATTTTGGTGTATTCAAATTATAGAAGTAGTCACCCAAATCATTTTTAAATTGCTCTGTAAGTTTTGAAGAAAAAGTTATTGTTAATTATCTAAATGTAAATTTTGGTGAAAAATATGTTTTTTTGGGCATATAATCGGTTAAATAAGTATATTTGTAGATCAAATTAAAATCAAGGCAATTGTAGATTACCCAAGGCTTATTTATTATTGAAGTAAAAAAATTTTTAGGTCGTGATCGCTATTACACAAGATTTGCTAAAGGTTTTTTTATATGATGAGGCCATTATCCAGACTAACAAATAAAATAGTAGAATTTGATTGGAAAAATCATTGTAAGGGGGCATTTTAAAAGCTGAATATTTGTTTAATGATAGTCTTAGTATTGAATTTCCCCTTTAGGATCACATGAATTTCAAATTTGCAATGTGCAACATTAAAGGGATTGGGATGTGCTCTCATGTAGCATGGAAAAAGTCGTTACTTTTGTTTCCAGGCAATTAAAGAACCATGAAAGAATTATTTTAAATATGACTTGTAACTAGCAGTAGTTGTGTTTGAACTTCAAATTTGAAGACACTATTATACAGAGTTAGATGTAATATTTTAACTGTTCATCAGAGTTTAAAGTATATATTGACTAAAAAAGAATTGAATTTGAGACAAAGGCAATGATTGACATTTATTAAAAGCTATGACTTAGATATACAATAGCATCGGGAAATGGCAAATGTTATTGCAGATGTGTTGAGTATGAAGGCTTTAGGTCGTTCAAATTAGTTGATTACTCAACAGGAATAGTTAATTAAAGATATGAACAAGTTAAAGCTATTAGTAATTGATTAAAATAATGAGAACTATTAGTTTTATTTTTGTATTTTGAAATAAGGGACCAAACATATCTCAAATATTTAATTATTTAAACAATCGAACACGACATCAAAAATATTATGATAGAAATATCACATTATGATGGGTTTGATTATTTAAATAAGAAATTTGGGATATTTGCATGGTTTGTATTT